TTCCTATAGGATCCGCATAGGATTCCTAAGGGATCCTATAGGATTCCTAAGGGATCCTATAGGATTCCTCAGGGATCCCATCGGATTCCTAAGGGATCTCATAGGAATCCTAAGGGATCCCATAGGATGCCTATAGGATTCCAATCGGATTCCCATAGGATCCCAGTAGGATTCCTCAGGGACCCCATAGGATTCCCAAGGGATCCCATAGGATTCCTAAGGGATCCCATAGGATTCCTAAGGGATCCTATAGGATTCCTATAGGATTCCTAAGGAATCCCATAGGATTCCAAAGGGATCCTATAGGATTCCTATAGGATTCCTAAGGAATCCTATAGTATTCCTAAGGGATCCTATATAGGATTTCCTATAGGATCCTATAGGATTTCTCGAGGATCCTATAGGATTCCTCAAGAGCTCGCTGCACCGGTGCGCACACGCGTCGTGCTGTCAGAATCCGCATGGAGGACGTAGCGTTGAGAGCTTGGTCTGTGGAGGTAAGCTTTCGGGGTTGCTGGGGGTTGCTGGGGTTGCTGGGGTTGCTGGGGTTGCTGGGGTTGCTGGGGTTGCTGGGGTCCCGCGGTTGCCCCCGGGCCGGTCAAGTCGGCCTTGTCCCTAGGGGAGGAGGCGCTGTGGAGCTCCCCACTGGACGGGCCGGTCAACTGCGCCTCGTTCTTGTTGTTGTTGTTGTTGTTGTTGTTGTTGTTGTTGTTGTTGTAGTTGTCGTTGTCGTTGTCGTTGTCGTTGTCGTTGTCGTTGTTGTTGTTGGTGGTGGTGGTGTTGTTGTTGTTGTTATTGTTGTTGTGGTTGTTGTTGGTTGTTGTTGTTCTTGTTGTTCTTGTTGTTGTTGTTGTTGTCGTCCCACCCGCGACCCGCCCAGCGACCCGCCCCGCAACCCGCCCCGCAACCCGCCCCGCGACCCACCCGCGACCCACCCCAGATCCACCCCGCGACCCACCCGCGACCCACCCCGCGACCCACCCGCGACCCACCCGCGACCCACCCGCGACCCACCCGCGACCCACCCGCGACCCATCCCGCGACCCGCCCGCGATCCACCCCGAGACCCCCCCGGCGACCCACCCGCGACCCACCGGCGACCCACCCACGACCCACCCGCGATCCACCCCCGACCCACCCGCGACCCACCCGACCCACCCGCGACCCACCCGCGACCCACGGCGACCCACCCGCGACCCACCCGCGACCCCCCCAGCGACCCACCCAAAATTTTCGGCGCCTGCGGCCGGTTTCTTTTGCATTCGTTCCAGGTCGTTCCAGATGGAAAACCTGCGACCCACCCGCGACCCAAACCGCGTTCAGTGTACAAATCAAAATTTTCGGCGCCTGCGGCGGGCTGTTTTTGAATTCAATTCCAGGTGGAGGTGGAGAGCCCGCGACCCACCCGCGACCCAAATTACGTTCACTGAACACGCCAAAACTTCGGCGCCTGCGGCGGGTTTCTTTTGCATCGGCGACCCACCCGCGACCCACCGGCGACCCACCCCGAGACCCACCCGCGACCCATCCCGCGACCCACCCGCGACCCACCCGCGACCCACCGCGACCCACTCGCGACCCACCCGCGGCCCACCCCGCGACCCACCCAAAATTTTCGGCGCCTGCGGCGGGCTTCTTCTGCACTCGTTCCAGGGTCCTTTTGCATTCGTGAGGGCCACGAGGTCCGCCGGCTCGACGCCCGCGTCGCCCGCGCCCGCCCCATCACTCTTATCCGCAATTGCGGGGTGCTATACTTACTTCTCAGGAGGGAAAAAACACAGACACAGTTAATCCCCGATTCCCCACAAAATCCGGGAAAATATGGGGAGTGGGGGAGAAGACGAACACCATAAACCTATGGGCAACTATGGGGAATCCGTTTATTTGTGTGTATTGATTTGTGTGCCCTGGGGCCCCTTTCTGTACTCCCAGACCCCCGACGCCATGAATTTTTCATGACGACGACCCCCAGCGGTCTGGACCAATTCCCTGGGACCGGTTTTTCGTCCTGAGTCGTTTTTTGACGCTCCCGAAGCCCGGTGAGGGCCCCCAGAGGCCGAAAATAGCGAAAAACCTCCCGTCGTGATTTTTTCACGACGCGAGGAGGTCTGGGCTTGCTTCGCCAAGCCTTCGGAGCCCCACACGGCCAGGGGCCCGCAGGGGGCCCCAGCCGTGTGGAGTGCGAGGGGCGGGAGCCACGGCGGGGCCCTCTTTGGGAAACCTGCCCGCCGACGTGGCGCTGAGTCGGGCCTGTCCGGGCTCGTTTCGATTCCTCCGATTCGATTCGATTCGACTTCGATGGATTCCGATTCCGATTCGAGTCGATTTGGGCTTCCGATCTGGATTCCGATCTCTTGTTGGAGGCATACTAGCCTGCCGATTTCCGCCGATTCGACGTTTCCCGATTCGGCTGCCGATTTCCGCCGATCCGATTCATGTCGATTGCCGATCCGATTTATCGATTCGATTCTGGGCTCTCCTGGCCTGTCCCCCTACAGGTGGATGTTCGACGGAAAAAAAAGTACCCCAAGCATAGTCCAACATCGTCCCAAAATAGTCGGGGGATTATTTTTTGAGCCTGTGTTTGCCTTTTTGGGGCATGTTTGGGGTACTTTTATGGTTTCGTCGAACATCCCCCTGTATGGGGGGCACGCCCGACATAAACGTAGCGCGCTCTTGGGGTCCGGGAGGGCCTCCCTTGCGGCCTCGCGGGGGGCGCCTCGGGGGCCCCTTCGGGGCGCAGTGGGTCCTCTTCGGAGCTCCCGCGGAGGCCCCCCAGGCCGTCCTCCTTTCCTTTAGAACGGCCTCTGGAGGTCCGTGGGCCACGACGTGCTCGAGGGGTGCGCGAGCCGTCCGAGGGTCAGCTGCGGGCCCCTTGAGGGCCCATGGGGCACGAGGCGCGTGAGGGGTGTGCCGAGATGGGGCTCCCTTTAACTCCTCCTCCTCCTCCTCCTCCTCCTCCTCCTCCTCCTCCTCCTCCTCCTCCTCCTCCTCCTCCTCCTCCTCCCTCCTCCTCCTCCTCCTCCTCCTCCTCCTCCTCCTCCTCCTCCTCCTCCTCCCTCCTCCTCTCCTCCCTCCTCCTCCCTCCTCCCTCCTCCTCCCTCCTCCCTCCTCCTCCTCCTCCTCCTCCTCCTCCTCCTCCTCTTCCTCCTCCTCGAGGGCCAGCGGACCGCCCCCGGAGGTCCATGAGGCACGAGTTCGTAGGGGGTGTGCCGAAATGAGCTGAGCACAGAGATGTGCGAAATGCGCGAGCGCTGTGCCGAATTGAAGCGCTTAAGAGAATCGATCTGCGATTCCTCGTATTCTACGTGTCCGAGGCCTGGGGGCGCAAGAAATGGGTGAGGGGGTGTCGAATTGAGGCCTTCGTGGCCCTGAGAACACGTATCACCAGCATTTGTACGTGTCAAGTTGCTCGCCAGAGCATGTAGGGAGCTTCTCGAGGCCTCTTGGGAAACTCTTGGGGCCCTTTTTGGTTGTTTTGTGAGCCTTTGGAGGCCTCGTGGAGGCCTGGTGATAGTCTCGAAGGCCATCTTTTTGGGACGGGCTCGGCATCTCATTTCGGGTTCACCCCCTTGGGGGCCTCTGGGGCCCCCTTGGGGGCCTCTTGGGCCGTCTCGGGGCCCTCTCTGGGCCCTCTTGGGAGCCTCTTTTGGGCGTTCCTAGGGCCGAGGGCGATCTTGGGTGCATCTTTGGCTGCCTTGGACCGTCGGAAGGCCAATAATGCGAGAAGGTTGAGTTCCCCCCCTCAAGCAAATCAAGAACATCAATGATGTTGGCCTCTCGGGGCCTCCATGGGAGCCCACTGGGAGCGCTCGTGGGGCGTCTGGGAGTCCTCTTGGACCGATTGAAAATAAAGCTGTCTTGGTAGTGTTGGAACGCTATTGGACCGTGCTGGATCCTCTTGGGTTCTCAGGCCCCGTGGAGAGCTCCCGGAGCGCTCGTGAAGGCCGCGCCCAGGCCAAACACTCTGACCCCGGGTCCAGCGCGCGAAGTCCGGGGTCATCTTCATCCGAGGACCCTTAGGGGCCGCCCCGCGTACACGATCCAGTAAGTAATTAATGAACACCGGTCGGGAGTGGACAGAACCCCCAACAGTGACACGTCGATCAGTGAATTGTCCGTTTTCGGTTCTCGAGAGGGCGCCGCGGCCGTTATTTTCCAGGCTTGCGCCCGCCAGGTTCGGGCCCGAGGTCGGTTTCACTAAACCACGTTTTACTAAAGGGAGGTCTGTCCATCCCCGAACCGGGAACCTCTTACCTGAGATCTTAGCTTGCTTTCGGCCCACTGCGCTGGCGATTCTTTGTTTAACAATTGTCTTCGAGTGCCGTCACAATTTGAATGTGATGGCCAACCTCTGCCTTCCGTCAGAGACGTGCCGAACAATTGGCATTCCGTCTTGCCCTTGCCATGTTCTGACAGTTACAGTATGCTTGCTTGTGTCGGGTGTGAGCGTTGCACACCGTTCGGTGAAATGATCAAGATCCGCCAATCTTTCCGCAGTGTCGACAAAAGCTCGGCCTCTAGCAGGAATGCCATTGACAAGTGCCGGAGGATGCATCATGGATTGCACCCGAAGTTTTCGGCAGTCCCGATCGATATGTTCGGCAGTTCCGATCGATATCCTTCCGCAACTGCCTGATAAGGAGTACGCTATCATCAGGCGATGCACATGTTCCAAGCGTCAACCCTCCTCGTCCTTGCCCCTTCTTCAGCGGGCGGGGGTTCTGAGAGCGCACATTCGGGATCTCCCGCGAAGTGCATGGGCGGTTTTGAAGCTCCCCGAGCGTCGGAGTGTCAAGAACTTCTCCGAGCCCAACCCAACGTCCATCAGCAGGAGGGGGATGATAAAGACGCGCAGGGCAAGGGTCAGCACAAGGCTGAGCAGAAGCGGAGAAAAACGAGCAGGGTGAGAACGAGGAAGGTCCAGGCCAGACGCAGCAGGAGGAAGATGAGGAGGAGGACGACGAAGACCTTCTTGCGCGCCCCCCCCCCACCGCAAGGCGACAGTCCTTCTCCGAGGTGTGGAGCAGAATTGACACCTCGCCGCTGCTGTGCCCCCCGCCAGCTCCTGCGAGGAGCGCCCGCGCTATACCAGGCATGCGGTCGGGAACTTCTGCTCAGCGCGTCGCGTCGCCGCCTCTGGCCCACCAGGCCTCGTCGCGACATGCGGAGCGCGTCCCAGTCCTCGAGCATGAACGCCCTGAGCCTCCCACGAAGCAGAGAGCGACACGCTATCTGCTTGCAGGGCACTGCGTGTCACCAGGGCCTCGGCATCGCTCGGACGTGTGCATTTTTCTTTCGGCGAGGGCCATCGAGGAGCATCCTTGATCATTTGGCGAAAAAACCACGCACAAAACCGAAAAAAACACAGGGAATGGACGTCCGAGCGATGGCCAGGGGCCGCTGCCGCGACATGCGAAGCAAAATTTCCCGACCGCATGTGGTTTGTCCTCCCCGTCCCTCAATTCCAGCAGTGTTGGGCAACTCCCGGGCACACTGCGACGTCATAGTCCTCGTCCGGCCCAAACCCCTCCCCCCTCCCCTTCCCTCTGTGCCGCCATCCCCCCGTGTCTCTCTCTCTCTCCCTCTCTCGCCCCACGCCTCCTTCCCTCCCATCTCTGCTTCCTTCCGTCCCTACCCCATCTGCTGCTCTCACAATTGCCTGTTGTACTGGTCTCCCCTTGCCGATGCCGTCTTTGTATCTGGGCATGGAAGCTGGCCAAGTGTCCGTGCCCGCCTTGTTAGCGCCTTACATATACAATTTTATTCATCCGCTTATGAGAATAGTCGTTTTCCTTGCGTCGACCGCAATGGCTTCCACCCTCCGCCGCCATCGACATCGTTAAACCACCTTTAACATCCACGCCTCCGCCTTCGCTTTGGCAGGGTACGTTACTTTAGGGTCCGTCGGGGCTGCCCAGCCCATGCGCCAAAACCCGCGATTGGGAGCGTGCGCGCCACCTTCAACACTTCCGCCTTCGTGCACCTCTTCCCGATCACTGCGGCAGGAGCCGTTATTCGAGAGGACCGCGGGCGTGGGTTCGGGCCACCAAAGCAACCCCGTGGGCCCCGCCTGCGTGCGTCTCAAATGCCGCAATTGCGACTCCGAGGAACACCTCGCGCGCGACCGCCCCCGGCGCCGGCGGCAAGGGCGCGGTCTCTTCCTCAGCGCCTACGCCCCGGCACAACCGCCAGCGCCATCATCCTCGCCATGTGCTCCCCCAGTGCAGCATGGGCCGCCGGCGCCGACCGAGCAACAGCCCGTGAGTGGGCGCGCGCGGTCTGGATGACCAGGGACACCTCCAGGGCCCTCCGACCCGTGGCCGCGGACAACGGGAGCGGCGATCCACTTCAGCGCGTCGGCCCCTGGAGCGACGGACAGCCGACTCCGGCAGCGCCAGCGCCGCGGCCAGCAGCGCCGGCAGCCACTGCAAGTTTTTCGTCGGGCGGCGCGCGGCATACGACTGTCCACAACCATCGGTTCACTTGCCTCCGCCTACACCTCCGGGTATTACGCCGCGAACGACGCCCTGAGCCCTCAGGGAAAAACCGGGCCTGACCTGGGATCTGACAGGGGGCGAATATCATGTTAGCACATACACAACACAACCACGAACACCCCCACCCCGAAACACACCAAATAAAGAACCGACCACCACCACCACCACCACCACCACCGAATAGCACACTTCACAACGATTGCGTGTCAAGTGTGCGCAGGGGCCACAATCTAATCTTATCTGGCACGCGGGCACCACACAAGAAACCCGTCTGGCTGTGAGGCTGGGGAAAATGACGGAGGGGAAAAGAAAAGTGCCCCGGCTGCTAGGGCGTGGGGGCGGCTAGACCTGCGTCAGTAGGCGACAAGCCGGGCACAAAACGGAACAACGGAACCGTCAGCCGCGCCCGCGGCGTCAGTGTAGGATCGCCGCCAGGCTCGAGTGAAGCCCCCCGAAGACCCAAGACAAAGTGGAGACCGTCAAGATGTCAATTACCCCCCTTCATCATACATGTGGTATCATTTTGCAACACCACCATTGCACCACGAGACCAATATAGAATGGCACCGGGGAAGTGGCCGCACCAGCGGTGGCGCAGGTGACACCGAAACACACGACAAGAGGCCCAGAACCAAACTCTGGCGTCGCAGGGTGAAGCGCAAACTTATTCAGACAGACGCCTATTTTTGCCAGATCCCTTTACAAAGCACGAATCAGCGACACCCAACACGGACACCGACTTATACCTGAGGGGAACGTAGGGCCTTCTACCGACACGTTCGCCGAAACACACGCCACAAACGGCACAGATACCGACGCGCGTTGGCCAGACGAATCGCCGGTCTGCCCCCCGGGACCCTGCGACTGACACCGCAGCCGCAGCCCCAGCCCGAACCGAAGCCCCCACGGAGGAAAGAGCCGAAGCCCCAACCGCCTCCGCGGAGTGATGATCCTGGGGAAGTTGTGCAATCCCGCCCCCACCACAGTTCGGATTGCTCAGAGGATGGCCGGCCCGAGCAGAATCAAAAGGGCCTAGCCACAGCAGCAACGACCAGACATCTAACATTAGGCACGCAAGGGGGCACCCCGAATGAGGTTGGGGTTCGCCGCGTCCATTGTCCTCATCCCCCCACCCTGAAACAGCACACCACCAGGAAACACTCCGGCGGGGGTGTGGACCGCGGCGAGAATTGTGACCGCAAGGAGAGAGGAGCGGAGAAGGGAGGGAAAGGAGGAGGAGGAGGAGGGAAGGAGGGAAGGAAAGCGAGCGAGGGAGAAGGGAAGGAGGGCAAGGCACAGTCCCACCACAGCCTACCACCCTCACGGGAGGCACTAAGCCGGGGATGAGGAGGACGCGTTTCCGACGAGCGGCAACGAGGATGCAGCTGCTCGTCATCGGTGCACTTGGGCAGGGGCATCGCCGCCATCTTCGTCTTCACCGCCCGAAGCCGAACTACGACGACTACGGCGGGAGATGGCCGACCTCGCGGGCCGTGTGCGCGAGCCTCTGCAGCATTGGCGGTTCCGGTCACTGCGTCGCTGGGCCGTCCGGTAGCAGCGGGGAAGCGCCGCCGGCCTCGCCAGTTTCTGGAGCGCCCACGTCACCTCAGCTCCAGCAGCCTCAGCAGCACCACCACCGCCAGCAACGCCGCAGTGGCGGGCACAAGTGGCGGTGCATTCCCACTGAGACAAACCAAATGGCGCGACTGGATAGGCGACTTCGCGCGCGTCGCCGCGCCCCCAACCCAGTCAGCCGATGTGCAGTTGCCGAGCTGGGGTTTGGCGCCTTTAGTCTCAGCCCGCGGCATCGGCGCGCCGCGCGGATCGAGCTCCACGTGGCCGCCGCAGTCCGCGCCGGCAGCCACGTCGCCGTGGCAGACTCTCCCTGGGATCTGGCTCTGTTCAATCAGAACAGCCCCGTTGACGTTGGCCCGCCGCCCGGGAGAGTGGCCGCGTGGTTCCGGCCGCGATACCTGGGCGTCCAGCAGCGGCCAATCCGAGCGCAACGCGCGCGCCGCCGTCGACCGCGCGCAACGACGGCGACTCGACGAGCTCCGCGGCCTGCAGCTGGCGCTTGAGCTCGCGCGGCAGCATGATGAGCAACGACGCCAGGCTGCACAGATTTGCGCGGAGACGCCTCTTCCTGCGTCAGCCGCTGCGCCGACTGCTCCGCGGGAGTGAGCGGCGTCGCCGCATCCTGCATCAAGCGTGCCACCTGCAATTTTTGCTGAGCACCGACGCCCGCTGGGTACGCTGTCCAGCGCGCCGCGAACAAGTTGGCGTCGTTGGCGCGGATCGTACGCCGACGGTTCTGGCGCCTGCGGCGCCAGCCCGCGCGGCGGCAGAGAGCGCGCCCGCAGTTCCAGCAATTGCGCCGCCAGCCTGCGCAGCGTCGGACAGGGACACGCGAATGGTGATCGCATCGCAGCAGGACCTTGCGTAGTCTCCCCGGCCGGCCCCCGCCCCCGGGACCCTTCGGCCAGACTTCGCGCGGTCGCCGCGCAGTGCGTCCAGCTTCTCGTCCGCAGTGGACACGGTGGCGCCTTGCGACGCCAGGCTGGACATGCGCGCGCCGCCCTGCAGGCCGGCGTTCCAGCGGTGGCCGACCTCGTCGGCCACGGGCTCGAGTCCATCACGCGACTCGCCTCCGTGCTGCCCGGCGAGCGCCGACCTGCCCGGCGGCCGGTCAGGCGCCATAGTCGAGACCGGCGCCTGGACCAACGTTTGCGGGCCGCGCTCCGCCATGAATCTGCCGCGCACTGCCCGAGAAGTCAAATTGCAGCCCTCCGAGGAGAAGTGGTCGTCTCCACCTTGCGTAGCAGGGGTCAGCGACGGGTCGCGGGTAGCGAACCGCGACTTTCATTGCCCCGTCGCCGCGGAGGGTGGAGGGCCCAGGCGCTGACCTCCCCGCCCTTAGGTCCGCGGCCCATGCAGTCCGACAACGGGGCGGTGGAGACAGGCGTTGACCGCGAGCGCCTCGCGCTTCCCAGGCCAGGCGGCCGCAAAATCGCACGCGGCCCCACGCGCCATCCACTTCGACCTCGCGTCGGTGTCGAGTGGCCACTTGCGCGCCCCAGTCGGCGACTGCGACGTGCTCAAGCCGCGCTCCGGGGGCCTGCCCCCCAAGCCGCTCGCGCTGCTCGCGGTGGGCAACGACGACTGGGGTTCCGACGTCGCCGACGGCCGCGAGTTCCAGAAGCTGAAGGTCCTGCCCCTCGGCCCCAGCGCGCAGGACCCCTCGCGCGACGCGCCCGGGGGCGCGGGCTGTGACCTCCACGCGCGCGCGGGCGCCAGCATCGCAAATGATGGTCGCGAGTTGGCGTCGACGGGCGCGGCGGCCTTATTAGCGCCGCCGAGCATTCGCCTACGCTTCGTCCCCGCTCAGGACTTGCCCTCCAAGGGGTCGACGTCGCGGGCGGCGCGGTGGGCCCCGACTTCCGCGGCGAGATCGAGGCGGTCATGTCCAACGCAGGCCCGCGGACGCACGTGGTCGAGCAGGGCCGTCGCATCGCCCAACTCATCCTGGAGCGCATCGTCAGCGATGCCGACGTCGTGGTTGTCCACGTCCTTCCTTCGA